ATCCAAGGTGCTGAATTCTTTTCCCAAAATAGGTTCAGCCTCTTAATATTCTCCCTGAAAACCAGAGCAGATTCACCTGTTTCATTGATATGTAAGTTTCCAATGCCCTGGCTTCACTCTTCTTGCAGTCTTACAAATGCATGGTATATAAAGTACTGTATTCCTACAGGGACAACTTGAATGCACTCTGTCAATGTCTAGTAGGCATTTCTTTCCACTGGACTGTGACACACTGCTACTAGGGATTACTTCTTTATTATGCTTCAAAGCTCTCTTTTGGTCCCTGTGAATGTTATGCCTAATGTCTTTCCTTCTCTGAGAGCTGCCAAACCTTTCCCAACTCATTATTAATTTAGAATTGTTCCCCCAAACATCCTACCTTCAGAACCTCCACTGACTCAGAATTCAATATTTACTCATATGACAGACAAACATTGCCACTGGCATCCACTCATTTTCCTGTCTCTCTTTAAACAAACAAACAAACACAATGATAATTTCCTGCTGTAGCCTTGAAGCTTTCAAGCCAACCATGGTGGGATGTAGTCAGAGAAGGATTGCAATGGTTCTGGTCATATTTCTCCAGCAAGTTCCATGTGGTGATGCTTGGTCACCTGTTATGTGGCATTTCATAAGATGGCATTCTATCCACCATGAAAGCAGTGAGAGAAATCGTCTGGAGGCACGGGGCCTGGGCCTATCAGTAGGCTGATAACACCAAATACATTTCTCTATGCTTTCAGAAACAGTCTTAGCTCAGGATAGTGTGCCTTCTTGAATGAGAGGAAGTAATGATCTGAATAAAGAAAAACAAATCAAAACTGAATTCAGATAAGATTGAGATGCTTGATCCAAAGAACCCAAGGAGATGTCCAAAATTCGTGCCTCATGTTGTCCAGGGCTGAAAGTGTGGAATTCCCTTTATAATATAAACATACCATTTGCATGATTGATATTAAATCTATTCTTCTACTCATGTCTCCCATAGCCCAGTCTAACATTTTATTTTTCTTAATCTAATGTACTTACAGCTCTGGCATTCATCTGCTGAAGGTCCCCAACATCGATTTCCACAAGACTTGTGACATGGTCCACCTTCAAGGAGAGAAGAGACAAAATATAGAGATATTTCAGACACAGGCACACTCATTTTCTTTGTAGAGGATTTAAGCTGGATACTGGAATTATTTTATGAGAATGTTATACACTACTTCAAATGGAAAGATTGGTATTTATTTCACAGTTTTGTATACCGAGCTTCTCAACCTCGTTGAGGGACTCAGCCATAAAAACATATACATTCATTAAAATATCATATATCACAAATTACAAAACAACTTTAAAAACACTAAATATAAAACTACAGTGGTCAGTCGTCCTAATAAGATGGATCTATATCCACTTCCATCCAGAGTCCTATGGTGTTGTCTCATTCCTCGAAGGCCTGACTCCACAGCCACGTCTTCACCCGTTTCCTAAATGTTAGGATGGATGGGGGGGTTCGTAGTTAAAGGAGACCTTAAAAATCCTACATGAAGTTGCAAATGTATCAGAATTAAAGGTAATTCATGGTGGAACTTTGCATCCTAACTGTACCACTTTTGATTAGATAGCTACTATAGAAATTCAAATATGCAGCTCTTAAAGACCTTTACCAGCTCCATCATTCTCTTGGCATGCTGTGTTTCAGCAAAAGAAGGGAACATAGGAAAATATTTCTTTATATAAATAGATAAAAGCTAACATGTTTTATGAAATAAAAGGTTCTCTAGAAGGAAGCAGAAGGACATATATGCAGTGCCTTAATGCGAGTCACTGATTCTTATTGCCAATTAATGCATGATTGTGTTGGTTCTTCAGGGGCGGTTGGCTAAATCCTACTAATCCAAAACTTTCCATGTTTCTTCTTCCACATATATTCATCTTTCATATAATTTTTTGTTCTTTGCGCTGTGGGAAAATCAAAGGGAATTACTTTTTTGTCTATTCCTGATTACAAACCCATTTCAATCAACTGAAATCACACTGTGAATGAATTAACTGTCATTATATATCCATTGTATACACGTTTGTCTATTTTTCTTATGTTTTCTTGTCTATTCCTGATTACAAACCCATTTCATTCAACTGAAATCACACTGTGAATGAATTAACTGTCATTATATATCCATTGTATCTGTCATGCTTTTAAAGAATATTCCATTTATGGCAGGAAGAGTAATGTTGCACACTTTCTCAGTCCTTGGCACACTCCACAGACCATCTGATCAAGAAATAGCTCCGTGGAATACTTCATCACTAGGAGTCATACACAAAATAAAGATGGACTTTGGTGCGTACATAACAGATGTGGTTTGGGATTCAAGCCTTGCAGTGGAAGTCAGAATTGGTCAATTGATATGTTTTGGAGAGTAGCCATATTATCATACACAGTTGCTCCCCCTCAACAGTTTTTTGTCCCCAGAGTATATTCCCCACCTGTATGAAGGTCTATATTTATGACCCCGTTCCTTTATGAGTTTCCCCCCACAAATAATCTGCTCCATCCCTATCTCATCCTGATTTTAGTATTTTTAGTATCTTAGTTTTTTTTATCTTGCACATGCTCATTGTTATTTTATTTTATTTTACTATGTATGATTTTGCTTTATCGTCTTTGTACTCATATGTTGTATGTATTTTACTGTGTTGTTATTGTGTTTTGGTTTTACTTTATTGTAATATGCTGTTGGGCTTGGCCTCATGTAAGCTGCCCCAAGTCCCCATTGGGGGAGATGGTGGCGGGGTATTAAATAAAGATTATTATTATTATTATTATTATTATTATTATTATTATTATTATTATTAATGTGGTTTGGGATTCAAGCATTGTAGTGGAAGTCAGAATTGGTCAATTGATATGTGAAGAATGCAGAACTGATAAAGCAAGCTGAAGAATGAGAAAAGAGAGAGATGTCTTCCATTATAAGAAATCAGTGTTAATGGGGAGAAGTTGAGTGGAAAGATGGCAAGAAGCCTCTTATAGAATCAAAGAGTATGAAGAGACCACATTGGCCATCCAGTTTAACCCCATTCTGACATGCAGGAAATGCGTATGCAGGGGTATTATTTTTTTTTTTTTTTTTTGCTATGGGAAGGGAAAAGCACAAAGTAACCCTGGCAGATGGAGAAGGACAAACATGCCCCCCCCCCCCCTTCCCCTTCCCACTCTCCCCCTTTCCCCACCCTCCCCCCCCCCCCCCCCCCACCTCCCCTCTTCCCTCCCCCTCCCCTCTCCCACCCCCCCCCCCCACCCACCCTCTCCCTTCCCTCTGTTTTTTAAAATCTCCCAAAGAAGGAGCCTCCTCCCAGTACGCAGGGCCCTCGTGTATTCGTTAGCTTTGCAGAAGCGGAGGGGTTGGGTTTTTGTTTTTTGGGGTGAAAAATTCACGGGGGGGGTGGGGGGGCGCGGGGGGGGGGGGGGTTTGAAACCTGCCTCCTAGCTCACGCTGAAGCAAAGAGCACAGCAGGGGCAGAGCAGCCTTCCATAGCCTGCAGCTCCGCCCCTGTCAACCACCTCCACCAAGTCTGGCCTCCTTAATGAGAGCATTCAACACACCCACCCCCAACTTGGTTGCTTCACTACATCGGCTATTGCTGCAAGTAATGACAGTGTGAATAAATTGTCAATATTTTCCTGAGATAGTGCTTGCAGTTCTGGAGGGACTCTTAATTTTTTTGCATCTCATAGACTTAGCATGGGGATTTGGTTAACCAGTTAAAATTCATGAGTAAACCAGGTTTTTTAAAAAAAATCTGAAACATTTGGGGGGGGGTTGAACCCCTAAACCCCCCCCCCCCCTCGCTACAGGCCTGCCTCCTCCACACTCCAAGACACAGCACTGCACTTCGGAACAGCTCTTACAGTCAGGAAGTTCTTTCTAATGTTCAAGTGGAATCTTCTTGCCTGTCATTTGAACCCATTGCTCTGAAACCCAGTCTCCAGGGCAGCAGAAAACAAACTCACTCCCTCTTAGACATACCGCTCAGCTATGGATTGGGTGGGAGCTCCTGTGGTATCAGTAGTCCCCATCCACTGCTTACCACTTGTAAATAAGGTGCTTGCCTAATTTTAATTACCACTTTTCAATGGTTTCTGGAAAGGATGGATTTCCCATCTCCTCAGTCTATGCTAGTGGTTCTCAACCTGGGGTCCCCAGATGTTTTTGGCCTACAACTCCCAGAAACCCCAGCCAGTTTACCAGCTGTTAGGATTTTTGGGAGTTGAAGGCTAAGAACATCTGGGGACCCCAGGTTGAGAACCACTGGTCTATGCAGTAGCAACAGGTGCTTTCTCTCAAAGAACCACCTGCAAAAGTTGCTTATTTTTGAAGGATCTACTGCAGTGGTTCTCAACCGGGAGTCCCCAGATGTTTTTGGCCTTCAACTCCCAGAAATCCTAACAGCTGGTAAACCGGCTGGGATTTCTGGGAGTTGTAGGCCAAAACACCTGGAGACCCACAGGTTGAGATCCACTGATCTACTGGATTTGCTTCTCTCCTCCAGAATATAACTTTCTTCATAACATTCTGAACTTGATTTCTCAGTTCTACATGCTTCACAAGAAGATCCAATTGAAAACTATCATCTTATCTGTATTCTTGTCTGTCCATCTTTCTTTTTTCCTCTCCCATGTATTTATACCCCATTATATTCCTCCAGAATAATAGGAGACACATGTAAAACCATGTATAATTAGAAACATACAGATGGATGGCCATCTATGGGTGTGTGTGTGTGCTTTGAATGCCATTTCCTGCTTCTTGGCAGGGGGTTGGACTGGATGGCCCACACGGCTCTTCCAACTCTATGATTCTATGATTCTAATAAAACTATGGCAATATTATATGATCATAAAATAAAACAATATTAATTGACAAGTATAAATTAAACAGTATGGCACTAAAATAGAAAATGCATTATATGAAACAGTTTCCAAACACCTGCTAGAATGGAAAGATCTTCACCGAACAATGAAGCCATGTTGCAATATGGCCTAGCCTTTCTTGAAAGTACTAGAGTCTGGAAGCAGTTATGGAGAAAGCTCTCTCTGACATTCTCGCAAAACTCCGTGAAGGCTGTGATATATGGAATAAAATACCTCAAGACCTCTAACCACTTTTTACCCACTTCACAGCAATGAAAAGTGTAATCTGGATTAACAAGTGATAAATAGTTGCATATATTGTATTGTTGAAGGCTTTCATGGCCGGAATCACTGGGTTGTTGTAGGTTTTTTCGGGCTGTATTAGAATGCCTCTAGACCATGGCCATACAGCCCGAAAAAAACCTACAACAACCCAGTTGCATATATTCCTTCCTCATTCTTGCCCACACCTCTATTAATGGTGAAGAAACTGGATAAATATATTCCACCTAGCAACCTGTAGCCCAAAAGCATGTGAAATGTCAAATGTGGCAAACATAAAGGTCTGCTTGATTTAATTTCCTTGAGACAAATAATAGAAACTCAAATCACATTCTCTCCACCTCAGAAGTAGGCAAGAGCAACCCTGCTCCGAAATAAAGTTTGCCAAGCAAGTCTCATGATAGGTTCATCAAATTGGAAATGACTTGAAGCCCTACAATGATCAAATGGAATACGCTGGCTAGCTGACCAAGTGTCTCTTTACTAGGAACTGAACTCACTTCAACAACATCCAGAAGAGCCAATGATGAGGGATGGTAAGGAAGCTGCAGTCCAGCAACATCTGGAGAACCACAAGTTGTCTGTTCTATTATAAATGAAGTTATATGGTTCAGTATGCATAAAGTGAATTGGTCAAAAGAACCACCTTCTTAAACTGAATCTCACCATTTTCTGCCACTTACACAATGTTGATAGAATCTACTGATTAGGTTGTACAGCAATTACACATGTATGCCAACCACCTCATTAAAAGCATCAGCTCCTTGATGCAACAAAGTTCATTTAAGGCAATTATGCCTGGGAGACACAGTTGCTGATATCAGCATACCATTTTCTGTGACTGTCTGGCATCTGTTTATTGGGACCCGAACTTGCATTACAGCTATGCCATGCAAGTTTATTCTGG